GTTGGCACGAATCGAGACTGGGATTTGTCACTCCGTGTGACGGAGAGGTATCCCTGGGCCCACTCGGTAGGACATCATCATAATGTGCACAATGTGATCAAGGAGTTCATCGCGGGATGATGTGTTATGGAACGAGTAAAGAGACTTGCCGGTAATGAGATTGAACAAGGTATCGGGATACCGATGATCGAATCTCGGGCAAGTACTATACCGGTAGACAAAGGGAATTGTATACGGGATTGATTGAATCCTTGACATCGTGGTTCATCCGATGAGATCATCATGGAACATGTGGGAGCCAACATGGGTATCCAGATCCCGCTGTTGGTTATTGGCCGGAGAGTTGTTTCGGTCATGTCTGCATGGTCCCCGAACCCGTAGGGTCTACACACAGGTTCGATGACGCTAGGGTTATAGGGAATAGATATATGTGGTTACCGAATGTTGTTCAGAGTCCCGCATGAGATCCCAGATGTCACGAGGAGTTCCGGAATGGTTCGGAGGTAAAGATTTATATATAGGAAGTGAGGTTTTGGTCACCGGAAGTATTCCGGGCATCACCGGTAATGTACCGGGACCACAGGAAGGGTCCAGGGGTCCACCGGGAGGGGCCGGGAGCTCCTATGTGCCGCTTATTGCAGCACACAATCGGGGCTTCGCACAAGGGACCTGCCAACTGGGCCGGCCCATCGGGGCGTGCCATACTGTAGCGTGTAGCGTGGCTTGTGGATACTGTAGCGGGCGAATAAGTCACAAAAATTTATACACGATGCAGTGGGTTCGAACCATAGACCTCCTGCTACGGTTGATTGTCCATTGCCACCTGACCTAACATTTGTTACTGACTTAAACTGCAGCGCAAATTCTTAAGAAGGAACGCCAACAACAGATCTGATTTTTAAATAAAGTTCAAACGCAACCTTTTCTCTGCAAACTTGCATATTATTATGAAACGCGCCTTTTTAAAACATAGTAAAGAGTATTTCAGAAAAAGGAACTCAAACAGTTTTCTAAAACATAAAATATTTTTGGGAAATCTTGATTATTCTTGAAAACATCAACATTTTTTTAATCATTGATCAATTTTGAGAAACGGGAACATATTTTCAAAACTTTGAATGAAGTTTGCAAAAACAGGAATATTTTTTAAAACTTTGAACAAATTCGAAAGTATGAACATGATTAGGGTCTACGAAAAAAATTGAAATCGGGTATTCTTGAAATTCCGAGAACAATTGGAAAAGGTTAACATTTTTTGAAAACGGAAACATTTTAAACTGTTGAACAAAATATTAAAACACGAACAATTTTTAAATACACGAAGATTTTTTTATACTCCGGAACAAATTTTGAAAATGGTAACATTTTCCAAACTCCTGAATTTTTTTAAAAAAACACGAACAATTTTGGAAGCACAAACATTTTTTGAAAACGGGAACATTTTAAACTCCCGAACAACATATAAAAATGCGAACAATTATTGAAAACACAATCTTTTTTTAAACTCCGGAACAAATTTGGAAAATGGAAACATTTTTGAACTCTTGAGTTTTTTTCTAAAAACACGAACAATTTTGAATACACAAACATTTTTTGAAAACGGGAACATTTTAAACTCCAAAGAAAATAATAAACGCAGACAAAATTAGAAAACACGAACATTTTTTAAACTCGGGAACAAATTTGGAAAATGGGAACATTTTATGAAACTCTTCAAGTTTTCTAGAAAACAGGAACACTTTTGAAAACACAAACATTTATTGACAACGGGAACATTTGTGCTTTAAAATTCCAACTTTTTGTTCCAAAATTTGAGTAATTTTTTTAACATACGTTTTTTTTAAATGCGAACAAATTCTATGAAAATGAACAAATTTTAAATTTCCCAAACATTTACGAAAACATGAACATTTTTGGAATTTGAGAACAATTTTTTAAAGCACGAATGATTTTTGAATCTTGAGAACAAATTTGGAAGTGAACTATTTTTTAAAGCACGAACATTTTTTGAATCTTGAGAATAAATTTTGAAATGGAGAACAATTTTGAAAAATCCCGAACAATTTTGTAAAGCATGAACATTTTTTGAATCTTGAGAACAAATTTTGAAACAGAGAACAATTTTGAAAATTCCCGGACAAATTTGGAAGAGCGAACATTTTTTGAATATGTGAACCAAAAGTTGAAATCTGGTACATTTTCTAAATTTCGAAAGTTTTGAACTTTTTTGTGTAGAGAGAACAATTTTTGAATTTTGAGAACATTTTTTTGAAACACGAACAAAACTTGTAATATCGATATTTTTGAAAAAAAGAGAAGAAAAGAAAAAGAAATAAAAAATAAAATCCTAAACATTTTGGAAAACTGCGAATATGTTCCAAAAAATACAAGAAAAAAAGAAATAAAAAAAAGAAACAGAAAACGAAAAAAAATAGAAACATGAAAAACCAATAAAAGAAAAAAACGGTTCATGGAACCTACTAGAAGGTTCACAAAACCGGAGTGCGAAGTTCCTAAGTGGGCCGGCCCAAAAGGCATCACTCCGCGCTTGTCCCTGTGCGAAGCGGGGGCAGTTTGCCGCAGTGAGCGGTGAGTAGGATATTCCGGAGGGGCCACCAGCCCAGAGGCTTGCGTGGGCCAATAGTGGGAAGGGACCAGCCCCTAGGTGGGCTGGGGCGCCCCCCACCAAGGCCCAAGGCGCCTCAAGACAAGAGGGGGGCAAACCCTAGGACAGATGGGCCTTAAGGCCCACCCCGGGTGCGCCTCCCCCTCTCCCCCTTTGGCCGCCACCCTAGATGGGATCTAGGGGCTGCCGCACCCCTTGGGGTGGGAACCCTAGAGGGGGCGGAGTCCCCTCCCTCCCCCCTATATATAGTTGAGGTCTAGGGCTGCCCAAGACATGAGATGAACTCTCCCAAGGCGCAGCCCTACCTCTCTCCCTCCTCGTCTCTTGCGGTGCTTGGCGATGCTGGAGTGCCATGCTCCTCCATCACCATCACGCCGTTGTGCTGCTGTTGGACGGAGTCTTCCCCAACCTCTCCCTCTCTCCTTGCTGGATCAAGGCACGGGAGACGTCACCGGGATGCACGTGTGTTGAACGCGGAGGTGCCGTCCGTTTGGCACTAGGATCTTCGGTGATTTGGATCACAACGAGTACGACTCCCTCAATCCCGTTCTCTTGGACGCTTCCGCTCGCTATCTACAAGGGTATGTAGATGCACTCCTCTCTCTTGTTGCTAGTATCTCCATAGATAGATCTTGGTGATGCATAGAAAATTTTGAATTTCTACTACGTTCCCCAACACTTGCTTCACAATATTGCGAAGCTCACGAACAGTCGCGGGGTTCCCAAGCCCCCGGCAGTTCCAACTTAAGCAACTCATTGTGCCCGGCGGGGCTGCATTACAGGCATCGCCGATTCATCCGAGTTCTGAGAATTGGTGGGTGTGGGCTTTTTCTTCTTCAGCTCCCGTTCTGTCCCAACGTCTCTGTCCTCACCCACCGATGCATTCTCTCCCGCTCTGAAAACCACCATTGCATTGGTGGCTTCTTTCTCTTGCACCTGCTCCACGGTAGTCACCGGTGGCAGCGCAATCTGTCTATACACTTGTTTCTAACTTTGAGGACCTCCCTTCCTCTTATTCTTCTGGATGTTTTTCTTTGGAGGGGAAACAACCTCAGTATCGGCATCTGTTTTTGCATTCATCGTACGAGCCTCCTTGTTGCTATTCTGACTAGATTGCTGCTCTTTAGACGAGCTCTCGCTGGACACTGTTTTCTTCTTCTCCTCCGGCGCTCTCAAGCTAGTTTTGAATGATAAATCACCGTTCTCATCCCGTGATCCAGGCATCGGACAATGAAGATCCGAGTGGCCCAATCGTCCGCACGAGACGCAGAAATTGGACACCTGCTCGTATTGTATGTCATACCAATCATTGCTGCCTCTCGCCGCAGAGTCAATCAAGATCCACCTGCGCAAAGGCTTCCTTACATCTATGGTCACCCTTGCACACAGGAACCCCCCAACAGGATCAAACTAGACAGCAGATGTGTTCGTATCAATTTGCCTAGCCACAACTTTGCCCCTTGTGTCACTCCTCAGATTGAACGACAGGTTCAAAACCCTAGCCCAAATCCTGAGTTTGTCAAATTGCAGTTCTGACGGCTGCATACTCTCCTTGAACTCGGTGAGAATCACAGCATGCTTGCTCACATGCCATGGTGAGCCATCCCACACGCGATCACGATCTGCTAAGTCTCAAATTCCGCCACAAAGATATTCTCACCAGCCGATCGGAACACCAGACCTCTAGGGTTTCCCCAAGCCGGGCGCAAAGCATTGGCGATCGTCTGAATATGCAACAAATTCCGGTGGAGAACCTTCCCCGCGATCACCCAGATTGGCCTCGCGCCATCATTAACATCATCCAGGATCAATGGCGTTGCCTCCTCTTCCGTGAGATCTAATTTCCCCATGGCTTCCTCCATGCGCGCCCTGGCCGCCCTTGGCGAGAGAGCCTCCTTGCCGCTCGACGAATCTGATGCCGCGGCCATCAGGATTCCCTGTGTGCAGCCCGCCGGCAAGAATTGACCGGCGGCCGCCCTCTTTTCCACTCGAAACCCTAATCGCCTCCTGAGGTGGCTCCTAATTTTTCGGGGAACACTCAGCCTTCAGCTAACTGCGTAATGGTATCACCATAAGGCAGTTTCAAATATAGGGTGTAGTTTAGTGGCGTGCGTGTATGTTGGCGAAACATGCAAACCAACCATCCCACATGAACTTCATCCACGTACAAGCCCGTGATGCCAAGTTGCCAACTCTAAAAAAAAGGTCCGTGATGCTGGAGGAAGGAAGGCTTCCAGAGTAGTATATTCTAAGATTGATAGGTCGTGGTGCCCGTGGCGTTTAGATTGATGGAATCAAGAATCCTGAGGATCTGGTCGAGGGCGCTCTTGTCCTTGAGGATGCCCATGTGCGACACCTTGGGCAGCTCCACCACCTACAGGACCTGCGCCGGCGAGTCGGACCAGGCCTTGATCGGTCCCATGAGGCTGGCGAGGTTCACCGTCCCGTCGTCGTCGCCATACACGACCTTGACGGGACCCGCGTCGAACCCCCCGTCCCCGAACACGAGGCTCTCCATGGTGTCGACGCCGGTGCCGACGAGGCACGTGACCGGCATGCCGGGCTCCGGCAGGACCTCACCGAGCGGCCATATCCGCGCCCGGTATGGCTCAACCCCGTCGGCGAACCCGATGTCGTTGAGGAACTGCGTAACGCTCTTGGCGGAGTAGGTGCGGTTGTGGCGCTGGGACACGACAAGTGTGGTGTTGCCGAAGACCTTGGGCATGGGCAGCAGCCAGAGGTTGCTCTCGGAGCTGCGCTGCTCGTCGCGGATGAGGGAGGGGTCGACGAAGGGCACATCGAGGGTGTTGCCGGAGGCGAAGGTGAGCATCTCCTGCACGGAGCCGCCCCACGGCGCGGACAGCGTCACCAGCCGCTTCACGTGCGCCGCGCGCCAGGCGGGCGGGGCGCATGCCAGGAACTGCAGCGCGTAGAGCCCTCCGAGGCTGTGCGCCATGAGGATCGCCGGCCTGCCGCCGTTTGCCGCGCACGCGGACTCCACCAGCAGCCTGAGGCGCTCCAGGTACGCGCTGCCGACCTATGACGGGTGCCCCGGCGCGGCCAGCCCGTAGCGGAAGTCGTACGACGCGCCGAAGAGGTCGTGCCCCTCCTCGTACCCGGCCTTCTCCAGCGTGCATCGCGACACCTGCAGCATCCACATCGAGACGGGATGGGTTGGAGTGGCTAATAAAAAGGCCGGCTGGCCGCGCGTACGGTGGAAGCGGTAGTTAGGCCATCTCCATCGCAAGACACCAAACAGATGTCCGCCTTTGTCCGGATTTGGTCCGTTTGGGATAAAAAAACGGACATGCATGTCCGGTTTGGGTCGTTCGCCAACTTGTGCATGCAGCGGCAATAAACCATCGCAAACTGTCCCGCCAGACCCCACCATGCCTCGCCCGTGCTCGCGCGCCGGCAGGGCCCGTCTGCACGCTCGTGCGCCTGCCGCGCTCGCCCTGCAAGCCCAAGCTAGCATGCACCCGCGGCGGCTCGCTAGCTAGCTAGCAAGCACGCGCACGGGCTGGCTAGCTAGGAAGCAAGCCGGCGCTATCAGCAGTTGCGGCCGGTCGCCGCGCTCGCCGCAGCTCCTTCTGTTGTTGTGCCCGCGCGCCGCCGTGTCCTGCAGCACCAGCAGCCCACCACGCACCGTGCTCGTCGGCCCCGCCTTGCCACGCCGCCCGGCTGCCTGCGGCCTGCGGCCACGCCCGCGGGAGACGAGGACACAGCGGCCCTGCTCCGGCTCCGCAGCGCCCGCAGCCGTGCCCCGTCGTGCCCCGCAGCGCTGGCTGCCGCCCGGCCGTGCGTTCGCCTGTGCCGGCCGCGTTCTCGCTCTGCCGCTCCCGCTCGCCCGGCCACCGCGAGCTCTCGTCGATGGGGAAGAGAGGAAGGCTCGCGCGCCCCGCCCCGCCATGAGCTGACGCCGCTCGGCCACCCGCGCCCCGCGCCTGCCAGATTCGCCGGCGCCGAGCTCGCGCCCGCGCGCTCTCCGGCGTCCGCGCCGAGCTCGCCGGCCGCCTGCTTCGCGCCCGCACCCCGCTCCGGCCGCCGCCTGCACCGCGCCGCGTCCGGCTCCGGCCGCCGCGCCAGCGCCCCGCTCCGGCCGACGCCGCGCCGCTCTGGTAGACAAGCCTGTGGTTGCATGTGTGGATGGGTGGGTGGACACGATGGGCCAGGGAAGAGAAAAGAGAGAGAGGGTGACATGTGGGGCACGCCCGGACACAACGGACGGCGAGGACGCCGAGGCGTCCGTTTTCTGTCCGCTTTTGCCTCAAATCCAGACCAACGTTGAACTAGAGATGGGGTGAAAGGGACACGAAACAGACGAAAAAGTAAAATAGGATCAGCCGCTGGATCGTTGCATGTGTCCGCTTTTACCTAAACTGTGTCCGGCGGACAAGATAGGGTCTTGCGGTGGAGATGGCCTTACGTCGTCCTTGGATTGGATTGGAAGGGTCGGTCACCACTCCATAGAACGCGTTAGTGTGCACCGCGGGATCGAGCCTAGCAGCAGTGAGGGCGTTTGTTTGTTTGTGCACGCCGCGACTCGTCACAAGACAAGACGACGACAGGAGGATTAAGCAGCGCGTCAATCATCAGGTCAAAAAAATCAATGTCAAACGGTTGCGCTGAGATCCAGAGAATGGACGATTCGCCCGTGACGCGCGGACAGCCCGTCGGCACCCATTCCTCTTTTTTTTCTCTCTCGCCCTCAAATTCAATCGATCAATCTTGTCTCTCTCTCCCTCCTCTGTTCGTCCCCGATGCGCGTTTCAGAGACACACGTCTTTCCGTAATACGCCTTCCGTCCCAGTTTTTTTTTAAACCCGATCATCAGACGCTTCGCGTCATGACTTAGGCCTCTTTCTTTAGTCTAATATATATGAACCTGCTAGGCCCATTTATATATTCTTCTCTCTTTTTTTTTTGAGAATATATGAATCTAGTTATATTTTAGTTTTAGATGCATCTATTTTTATCTATTTGTGCGATAAGTATTTCCGGACGGAGGAAGTATATTAATCAACTATCATGGTAGTACAAAGAATACTAGAAGTAAAAAAGTACATCTAGGTCCGTAGACCATCTAGCAGCCAATACTAGCACTAGAGTGAGCTGAAGGCGCGCCGTCGTCTTCGCCCCTCCCTCATTGGAGCCGGACAAACCTTGTTGTACGTAGTACACAGTCGATCGGAAAACCGTCGTGCCAAGGCCCCATACGACCAGCGCACCGGAACAGTATCCGCCGCCGATGAAGAGAAGCGTAAATCAGAAGGATCCAACCTACAGACACGCGAATATAGACGAACGAAGACAAGATCCACGTGGATCCACTCAAGACAAACGTTAGCCGAATAAGTGCCACTAGTCTACCGTAATCGCCACTAGTCTGGACTCTTCTTTGGTCTCCTTGATTAATGGTTGGCATGTCATTATATCCTGTGAGAGTGAGAGAGATATCTAAAGATGTTACATCATGCATGGAGGAGGCGTTTGCGATGACGGTTTGGCGGTGAGGTAGTGTTTGGACTAGGGGTTTTATGGTGGTCGAATGCAACATTTCTTGCGCCATTTGCTGCCAAGCTTGGCCTTCCATGCCTGCTTGTCGTATTATTTTGAGTTTGTTAGGTCCAGCTTGCTCTCGTTCCAAGAGTGACGCACTACTGTTTGCAGCTAGACTCTAAAAACACAGCTTTTGGGTTAAATAAAAGTGGTCTGATCTGAGTTGTTCCACACGACACGGTCTTCACAAAATGATTTCATGTGTTTCACTGTATATTTATCTGGGTCTGAAAATGTGGGAGAACAATCTGCATTCAAACGCTTTGTCTGAAAGCTGAACTGCTTGCTTGCTCTTATTATTTGGTTTTGTCAGTTTTTAAGTCTGTATCTGTTTTACATAGCTTTTTTTGATCTATTCTTTTGCATTAACCAGCTTGACCATTCATGTTTGGTATGTAGGTTTGGTTGGTGGCGGTAACTAGGAAGATGATTCTAGTGGCTGTCTTTCTCTGCTTTTGACTGTCGAGTTGCTGCAACGGTTCAGGCGTTTGGCTTGCCAAGGAAAGATTGTAGAGGCGTTTTGGTTGGTTTGCCAAGGAAAGATTGTAGAGGCGTTTGGTTTGCGCAGCAAAGATTGTGGAGAGGTGTGCCTGTGGGAGGAGGAATTGGTGCTAGGGTTGATGATGCATGCATCTGAGCCTGAGCATTTTGCTTTGTATTTTCTGTTCAGAACAAAACAAACATGTTTGATTCGGTTTGGTATGGGGTTATGTCTTTGCTTGAAATAACTACGATTGAGTGTTCACATGTATGAAGTGCCCATTTTCCGGCCATTTATTTGGTTTCATTCTTTATTCGTGTCATTGGTACGATTCTATGGTGCGTGTATGTATGCAATGCATTTTTTTGGTTGTAGGAAATCTGATAGGTAAAGTAAAAGTTGATGGCATGAGTCACAACGATTTGTGTGCTAGCTCTAAAATCCAACCAGCGTCTGCAATCCTACTTTGATGTGGCTATGAAACGTCAACATCAACACGATGAATCAAACTCTTGAATTTTTCTCTTGTTTGCTCATCTTGTATGGTTTTTCTGCTTCACAAGTATCATTATTATTACTCGTAAAACACACCTACCAGTTGTCCTGTAGATTTTGAATGTTTGACCTGTTTTCACCATATTTCTTAGTACGACACTGAAATTTTATATTTTGACAAAAGCTAAGCTGGCTGGCTGTACTTGCCCCATCTCGTGCTGTTGATGCATGCATGTTAATTTGACAAACGAATGCTCGTACAAATCTCAATCTTCTCGACATATTTTTTCTTTTCTGTGCAATGCGGACAATCGAGGCACAATCAGCTGAATGCGTCAAAGGCCCAACCAAGCCCACAAGTTGACCTAGGCACTAGCCACGTTTTAGGCATAAGAATCCAGGCATGCCCGAGATCTACCTAAGAATGGCCTGGGCGGCCCGGCGCGCGAGGCGGCCCTGACGAGCTCACGCACGTCGGCGTCGTCGCCGTCGCCGCCCGCCGAGTGGTGGAAGTGGAACCCGTGGCTCCGGCTCCGGGACACGGCCGCTATGCCCACCGGCCCGTGTCCCGCCGCGCAGGCCGCCATCCGGCTCACGTAGAGGTCGCGCGCGCGGACCAGCGCGCGGAACAGCGCCCGAACGCACCGCCCCAGGATGGCCAGCGCGCACGCCCCTGCTCGCCGCCGACATATCTGATCGAAGGCAACGCCTTTGCCGTTTGATAGCGCCTGGAGACGGCGTACAAATCGCAGTGCTTGTGCTTGTGCTTGTCGCCGGGGCTATATATGAATGGATCGGCGACTCGTTCTGGGTCAAGTGACGTGACGGGTCGTAGGTGGAGGGCTGGTTGCGGAGCACGGGAGGTCTGACTCGCACTCGCTTGCTCATCTCTTCTGCTGCGGGACTCCGGTTGGGTTTAGCCGGTTCAAATCGGACGTGCTCTGTCTGGCACGTCTATGTGGACGTCGCGTTGATGAGTCCAGCCACGATGAATGCTCATCTAGTGAAAGTCAAGATGACACGTCCGACTTTTCAACTCCTGTAATGCAACTCCAGTATTTTAATATGGGGCTGCTAAAATTCAGTCGACCGAGAATTAGTGTAGTCTCAGTCGACAGGATTAACCATATGATTCGGTTAATCTATATTTGTCGCTGATGTATTCCGGTGGACGTGTGAAGGTGTGTCTCCGGCGGATCTATCTTTGGTGGATTTGCTCGGATCTCGTTGGTGTTTGTCTACGTTTGTGTGTCTTCGGATTGGATCCTTCCGATCTATGTTATTCTTCATCTGCGGCGATTGCTGTTCTGGTGCGCTGGTCATATGTGGCCTTAGCACGACGACTTCCCGACTGTCTACTACAACAAGTTGTGCCCGACTCTGACGATGGAGGGGCGATGACGGCGGCGCGCCTTCGGCTCGCTTCAGTGCTTGTAGTCGTCGCTAGGTGGTCTACGAATCTAGATGTAATTTTTATTATTTTTGGTATTCGTTGTACTGCCATGATTGAAGATGAATAGATCGGAAGATTTCCCGCAAAAAAAAGACAGTGTTAGTATTCAATTTTTAGTATAAGTGCTCAGTCAGTTATCAGACCTTCAGTGTTAAGCATGTCTCCGTTGTTGTAAGCATGTCTCCATTGTTAAGCATGTCTTCAAACATTCACTGTTTTATATTTTAGTATCATTTCAGTCATTAGTCTATTTTTCTCAGTCAGTTATCAGACCTTCAGTGTTAAGCATGCCTCCGTTGTTGTAAGCATGTCTCCATTGTTAAGCATGTCTTCAAACATTCATTGTTTTATATTTTAGTATCATTTCAGTCATTAGTCTATTTTTCTCAGTCAGTTATCAGACCTTCAGTGTTAAGCCTGTCTCCATTGTTGTAAGCATGTATCCTGATTGGCTTCGCACTATCTTCCTTTCTGATCCTTACTACCTAGCTGCTAATAGTCTTTGTGCTTTCACTTCATTGAATACTTGACTATGGCTTGTCTAGTGTAGTCTACCTTCCGCTGCATTCAAATAGTGTTGTTTCTATTATTGGTCTTCGAAACTTTCATGTATTGAAGACTTTCATAAAAATCGTCTATTCACACACCCCCCCTCTAGTCGATAACTAGCCCTTTCGTCATCTACAATCTCACCTTTGTCCATGAATATGGGTTATACACCAACTCTGGCAAACCGCCGCTATACGGTGCCAACACAAAATTCAGAGGACCTACGGTGCAAAACAACGGCGGATAGATGAATACGAGCAGCAACTAGTACGTACTGTATGTCAAAAAGTGGAAACCGAATTGGTGAACTGACCAATTTCAAAGGCCAGGCCCATGATGACCGAGCAGCAGGGACCGCCGGTGAGCCACAGGAGCACCGGGTCCGTGCGGGGCTACTCTCTGACTTGACGAAATAGTAGAAGAGCTCCGCCCCTGTCTCCTCCTCGACGCCCACGTACCTGCATCACACGGCCACTCCGGCCATGAGTCTGGCGCTGTTTCAACCAAGCTTAGAGCAACTCCAATGGGGTGATCCATTTCGTCCACCCGCGTCCGTTTGGGTCGGCGCGGACAAAAATGGCGACCCAACGCGCCGACCCAAACTCAATTCGTGTCCGTCTGGCGTCCGCGCCGACTCATTTGCGGCCCAAATTTGCGCCTCAAATGCGTCGGCGCGAGGAATCCAACGATAAAAACGGTTCGAGATTTAGACACATGGTTTATGAGCTAAACGTTTTGAATAAACAAATCTATGAAAAAAGAAAGTCGCGAAGTGACGCTCAACCTGATTGATGAGGTGGGAGTGATTTTTGTAAAAAATACTGATTTCGAAAAGAAGACAAATCAGCCGCCATCTAACCGAACACAAAACATTCCGTTGTTGAATGAAGAAAACCGGATACATCGATCGCCTCGAGTCCGAGAGAAAAGAGAGTCGCTGAGCACGTCCACCCGGCCGGCATGGTTGGGGCATGCCGTTCTTTAATGGCGACGGTCAAGGAAGCTGACAGCTTTGAAATATTATGAATAGTCCCTGAGGCCGGGAAAAGAACAAAAACTCCATAGTTTTTCACTACTTTGACACGCAGCAAGTGAGCGTAGCACTCAAATTAATCGGACGCATCAGTCCGAACCGGCAACTAGTATATTCAAGCACACTGTCACCTACGCGCCTCCGCACATTTCTAGCTAGTGAGTCGACGGTCGGACCGCCATCCGTGCCGTCGGCGAGCGTTAAGCGGTCGCGACAGCGCCGAGCCTGCGCGGCGTCTTGGCCGTGGACCCGACGGCGCAGCTCCTGCTCCTTGGGCCCAGCGCATGTGCCGCGGCGCCGTCGTCGAGCCCGAACTCGCAGGGGCGGTCCTCGTCGATCCTCCCGATGGCCACGCTCTGGCTCCGCGGCCCGACGCCGGCGGGCCTGGGCAGCCCGGCGCGCGAGGCGGCCCTTATGAGCTCACGCACGTCGGCGTCGGCGCCGTCGCCGCCCGCCGAGTGGTGGAAGTGGAACCCGTGGCTCCGGCTCCGGGACACGGCCGCTATGCCCACCGGCCCGCGTCCCGCCGCGCAGGCCGCCATCCGGCTCACGTAGAGGTCGCACGCGCGGACCAGCGCCCGCACGCACCGCCCCAGCATGGCCAGCGCGCGCACGCCCCTGCTCGCCGCCGACATATCTGATCGAAGGCAACGCCTTTGCCGTTTGTTAGCGGGGAGACGGCGTACAAATTGCAGTGTTTGTGCTTGTCGCTGGGGCTATATATGAAGGGATCGGCGACTCGTTCTGGGTCAAGTGACGTGACGGGTCGTAGGTGGAGGGCTGGTTGCGGAGCACGGGAGGTCTGACTCGCACTCACTTGCTCATCTGTTCTGCTGCGGGACTCCGGTTGGGTTTGGCCGGTTCAAATCGGACGTGCTTTGTCTGGCACGTCTATGTGGACGTCGCGTTGATGAGTGCAGCAACGATGAATGCTCATCTACTGAAAGTCAACGAGAACTTAAGGCGTGTCATACATACGTGCTACGATCATTTGAAAAGTTTTGAACAAAAGACTTGGTCGGTTATTTTAATGTTTTTTTTAATATCGGTTATTTTAATGTTATTGCGTTCGAGATGCTGTGATTAGAGTTGGCCGGAAGCAAATCCAAGCTCATGGTGTGGTTGCACTCACTGACTTTTACTGGATGGTGCCCCACGTGTTGACGCGGAATTGAAGATTCGATTTCTTTATTCGCAAAAAAGAAGAAGATTTGATTTCTAAAAACTGCATAGAATGTATAGATATATTCATTAAGATTCAAATCATGTGAGAAGTTCCAGCAGATCAAATAAAAAGTAATCTTAAGATAAGAGTTTTAAGATTCCACAAGTAAATGCAACATTACCCGCAAAAAAACACAAGTAAATGCAACAATATTCTGGCCGCAAAAAAAAAGATTTGAAATCCACTTAAGAATATACTAATGCATGTTGCCTGGTGGGAGGTTCTCAGTGGAAGTTCACACAGGAGATAGGTTTCTTTTTTGCGGGAAAAGCTTTCGATATTTATCATCTATCAAGGCAATACAAAGAACACAAGAAGTAAAAACTATATCCAGAACCGTAGACCACCTAGCGACGACTACAAGCACTGAAGCGAGCCGAAGGCGCGCCGCCGTCATTGCCCCTCCCTCACTGGAGCCGAGCAAACCTTATTGTAGTAGACAGTCGGAAAGTCGTGGTGCTAAGGACCAGCGCACCAAAATAGCAATTGCCGCCGATGAAGAGAAACGTAGATCGAAGGATCCAATCTGAAGACGCACAAACACAGACGAAGGAAGACCGAATCCGAGTGGATCCACCGAAGACAAACGCCAGAGACACATCTCCACATGACCTCCGATAGCGCTAGACGCATCACCATAATAGAGGCTAGGCAGGGAGAACCTTATTCCAACTTTAGATAGCCGTCGTTGTCTCGTCTTTCTGAGCAAGACACAAACACTAAACAGGCACCAAAAAACACCTAAAAACGGAGCAAGAGTCCTCCCGCCGGCATGGACCGCGCTGCGAACCGATATAGGTCTGCGTTGGGTAGCTTCCACGGTCCAGACAATGCGGTCTAGACGTATGCAGGAGGTTTGAGGTCACCGTTCGAGATGCCCTAACACAATTCGCCCATTTAATTCTTTTCAAATTTGATCGGGTATATCTGGCCTTGATGGATGCTTTTCTCTCCCACAACAAATCTTTCTAGGAAGGGTAAATAAAGTTCATTTAAAACTGTTATTGCGTTCATCTTTTCATGTATGGATGCAGAAAGGCATAAGAATGATATGTGTTAATACAGAAAATAAAGTGGTAAGGGTATATGCCTCAGAGAGGCTCATTGTCCAACCACCTTTGAGCCATGGCGAAACATTCTTTAGGCCGGTACTCTGGAGCAGTATGACCAGCACCCTGTACAAATAATGATTAATGACCTCTACCATGTTAGTACATATATGGTTACCCATGGACATGATTTGGAAAGGAAAACAAGATCACCTTCACTGTGGCAAATGTCATATTGTTTGTGTATTCTATGGTAAATCTACAAAAAATAAAAGATGCATCCCATGTCAAAAAAGAGTGGGGAGAAAGCCAACACACAAGGGATGTGCCATGAAGTTTTTCTTATATTTGAAATAGGGAGGTAGAAAGACTTAACCCAGCAGCCTGCCCACTAAGATGCCATGCTCTCCAGTCAGCAACGATGGAAAAGTTCAAGGATCTTATCCATGCTTGTGTGCCAAGAAATGGCGCCTCGAGATCATGGTCTCCGCTGCGCTCACAAGTAGTTTCACTTATGAGGTGCAAAGGAACATTTTGAGCCAATGTGAAGTAAACTTTTTCTCATGCCCTTGTTTTTACCTGTACACAAGTGCACGATAACCTTTCATAGTGAGGTTGAGATGATACGGTATACTGCTCGGTGTCTCGTATGTGTAGGGGAGCCCTATGTTGCATTGTATCCACTCACTCGTTGTTCCCTGTTGCCAAATTAACTTTCATCAGTAGTGTTCCAAATGATGTGGAATGGAAAAAGAATGCCAGGTGTGCTCCTACATGGCACCTATTAAGCTAAAAAGTCAACCTCAAATCCAAACCTTGCACCAAGTTCTGTTTTGGTATGAAAACTTTGAAATCGTCTAAAGAGAACCATACAATTTAGAATTAATAAATTGTGTACACTCGGAAAATAAAATGCAAATAAAGGCTTGTACAAAGTTGCCAGTTACCAATCGTCTCCTTTTAAACCGGTCGCCCTCACCTTCACCTCACACTGTTAGCAAACGTGTGTATTGTATCTATGTCGCAACCATCCAAGTGACACTAGCTTTGGATGTCATGTTAGTGCAAACCACATGATGTCAATGGATGTTATAGAAGTGTCTAGTGTACTTAGATGTTTAACAAAAATTCATGAGTAAATATAGAGTTGATGCAAAGTCCAGGATTCAAAAGGTGATGGTTTTCTTTACTTTTTCTACTTCTACAACATTTTTTTACCCTACCATGTCTAATTTTATATCTAAAGAAGTTAAAACTACATAATGATACCTTCGGATGCATACTCTATGAAATAAGTTTCATGCAACAGACATGGTGTGTACCTCCTTGATCCCAAGAGCTTTTCTAGTCATGTTGTTGTTCATCCAAAAGTAAGCCAGATAGTAACCATATGTCTACAATTTAGAAAACAATTCTAGATAAGTTTGTGCTATGGGAACAACATCATGTGACAATTTTCACATTCACCGAAATTCTTATATCAAACTGACACCCCATGGATGAAGAGAGACTGACAAAACAATCTATAGTTGGACGAGCAGGTGGCTTGTTTAACTGGGTAGATTCTTCCAACAAAATATTTCTTCTTGAAGCATCGTCTATGGTCTTTGGCGCAACAATGTCACATTTTTTGTACAAGATGTGTTCAATTGAAATTTCAGAAATGAGTTGTGATAGAAGGGAAGTGCATTAGATGATGTTTGCAATACCATACTAGTTCATAACAATAGAGCAATACATGAATCTTACATTATTGATAGTATGCAACACTTCAACACACATTTCATTCACGGGGTTAACGTAATCTCCTTTGCAATTCTTCACAGCACTCTTCACAAAAAGAAACCATGCTACAACTTAGATCAACGCATATTGCAAAAAAAATCACATGCTATTGTTGAAGTGTTCAAATGTGGCATCACCTCATATATTTGATCAGATATTATCCCAAAGCCATGAGCACTAGGAATTTTGTAATTTTCATCAAACTTTGGATCTGCTATAGGGTTGCCAACCATATATCCCTAAAAATAATTGCATTAACATGGCAATAGAATAAATACACGGTCTCGCACTCTTTTCCATTATACTGTTGTTGTCGAGTTAAATGTTCAATGGATAGCTAATAACTTGCCTTGAGATTGATGACAGGTTGCTGCCTCATGTCAATTCCTGGAGAATATTATAATCAAGAGGTAAGTCCACATTACCTCCTCAACTCTTGGTGAAATTCCAAATTACCGCCTCAGTTCATATGACAACTCTAGAAAAATGTGCTGATTGTAACCCCTGGCAGGTTTTACCGGTTTTGTCCTATGTGTCGGACAAGACATCATTACCATGACATCAGCTCTCTCCCCTTTGTCCATGTTAGAATTTGAGGCAAAAACATAAAAAGTTACTTTATCCTAAAAAGTGTGCAAACAGTGTTCTCTTCTCATCTACTTCTCTTTTCTTCTACTTCTTTTCTCCCGCCGTCGTGTTGATTATGATCCCATCTACTTCTCTTCTCCCGCTTGTTATTATACATTCAGGAATGCGCATGGATGTGCAATGTTCTAAAGAGCTAATAATTACCTTCTGAAATGCCTTGTGCAATAAGTGGAATCACCTTTCCAGCATATGAATCTCCACCAATGTAGAAAGGATTTGAAAGGTACTGCGGATGATCCGTGAACCACTGTACATAAACATGCATAGAGCGGCCAATAATCAACACTTTGAAGTTCTCCATGCAAAACAGTATGATGGTACGACATCAGTGATGCCTCTCATCACCTTATTTAGAAATGTTTGGACCTGCGAAGATGACGAGTAGTCCCCAACATAGTAGCCTTTGGGATCACGAGCGAACGAAAAACCGGAACCGACCGGTGAATCCAATAAGAGTATGTTTGCCATCTGATCGAGAATTGTCGTCACTAAACCATGTAAAGCTGATCAAAAATGAAATTGATTTCGACGAAGATATCATCTATAATCTCACCTTTGTCCATGAATATGGGTTATACACCAACTCCGGCAAACCGCCACTATACGGTGCCAACACAAACTTCAGAGGACCTATGGTGCAAAACAATGGCGGATAGATGTATATGAGCAGGAATTATGTCAGAAAGTGGGAGTCCTTTTCGAAAAAAATGTCAGAAAGTGGGAGTCGATTTGGTGAACTGACCGATTTCAAAGGCCAGGCCCATGATGATCGAGCAGCGGGGACCGCCGGTGAGCCATAGGAGCAGAGGGTCGGTGCCGGGGCTCCTCTCCGACTCGACGAAATAGTAGAAAAGCTCCGCCCCGGTCTCCTCCTCCACGCCCACGTACCTGCATCACACGGCCACTCCGGCCATGAGTCTGGTGCCATTTCAACCAAGCTTTAGTTGTGGAGGTACGCACCTAGAGCTTACCCTGTTTCAAGGTTGAAGGGCAGAGGGCCATCGAATCCGGGAAGGTGCGTGACCGCCGTCGCCGCCGCCGCCGACGCCGGGCGTGACGGCGGCAGGAGCAGGAGGACGGGGACGAGCTGCAGCAGCGGCGGCGGCAGGAAGTGGCGTTGCCTGGCGGTACGCAGCCGGAGAAGCTTCGAGGACATTCTTTCTCTTTCTTTGTGCCTCTAGGCACGTAGCCGTACCTGTACTGCTGTCTGCTGCTCGAATCAATTTGGATGCGTGGAAGGTATTGTCACGTGGAAACGGTTGGCATGTCACCTTCTTTCCGAAAAGGAAAGCTCGCCTACTCACTAATTTCCGTCGACAGGAGAATGTTTTGTCGACCAGAATATGTAACAAGTAGAGATGAAAAACCAGTATATATACGCCACGGAGAAACGGTGAACCAGGATATTCAAGCTCACTGTGGACAAAATCAGAATTCAGTTTTTTACGAATGCCCTTTTTGTTAGTCACATAATGGAAATGCAAGATTTTGTCCAAGCACAGGGAACAAGGAAAGGAAAGAACGAGAAAGTACTCCACCCGTCTCAAAATGTAAGACCATCTTTTACACTATTATAGTATCAGAAATGATTTTATATTTCGAGTCGGATGGAGTAGCTATCTTAGGGGCATCTCTAACTGAATTTAACTCCTTAAATGCCTTTTCAAACTTTAACTCATTTTTATTGAAAAAAAACTCCTCAAATCCAAGGAGTTTAAAAAAACATGGACCTAGGTCTAGATGTTTAGTCATCTCGTCCTATTTTTGCCGGGCAATTTTTATCTTAACTTTACTTTTTTAGCTCCGAGCGAGCTTGTACCACATCACAGACTTTTCGGATATTTGCTTAATAAAATGGTTGCATGCATCATTATAATGCATAGGACGGGGATAATTCTTCTTTTCTAAAATAAAATATGCCCATATTCCGACTCAACACTAGATGTCTCTTTGTTGAATCCTTGTTGAAGTCAATAAGAAGATGGTTGATCTCTACTCCCATCTGGCAAGTGCCACTAGCTATCAAATCCCAACAACATTTTCCCAACGAAAAGACCCTGAAAAAACCTACTGTTGCAAACATATATTTGTTTTAAGACTGATAAGTCGTGGTGCTCGTGGCGTTTAGATTGATGGAATCAAGAATCCTGAGGATCTGGTCGAGGGCGCTCTTGTCCTTGAGGATGCCCATGTGCGACACCTTGGGCAGCTCCACCACCTCCAGGACCTGCGACGGCGAGTCAGACCAGGCCTTGATCGGTCCCATGAGGCTGGCGAGGTTCACCGTCCCGTCGCCGTCACCGTACACCACCTCCACGGGCCCCGCGTCGAAGCCCTCGTCCCCAAACACGAGGCTCTCCACCGTGTCCACGCCGGTGCCCACGAGGCATGTCACCGGCACGCCCGGCTCCGGCAGGACCTCGCCGAGCGGCCGTATCCGCGCCCGGTACGGCTCCACCCCGTCGGCGAACCCGATGTCGTTGAGGAACTGCGTGACGTTCTTGGCGGAGTAGGTCCGGTTGTGGCGCTGGGAGACGACGAGCGTGGTGTTGCCAAACACCTTGGGCGTGGGCAGCAGCCAGAGGTTGCTCTCGGAGCTGCGCTGCTCGTCGCGGATGAGGGTGGGGTCGACGAAGGGCACGCCGAGGGTGTTGCCGGAGGCGAAGGTGAGCATCTCCTGCACGGAGCCGCCCCACGGCGCGGACAGCGTCACCAGCCGCTTGACGTGCGCCGCGCGCCAGGCGGGCGGGGCGCGCGCTAGGAACTGCAGCGCGTATAGCCCGCCTAGGCTGTGCGCCATGAGGATCGCCGGCCTGCCGCCGTTGGCCGCACACGCGGACTCCACCAGCAGCCGGAGGCGCTCCAGGTAGGCGCTGCCCACCTGCGACGGGTGGCCCGGCGCGGCCAGCCCGTAGCGGAAGTCGTAGGGCGCGCCGAAGAGGTCGTGCCCCTCCTCGTACCCGGCCTTCTCCAGCGTGCTCGCCAGGACGTCCATGTACCCCGTCAGGACCCTGCACGTCAATTTTGGCATGTCGTCTCACTGCCATTGGCCCATTGCTGATTGCGACATCTGCATCATTGACATGAAGAAATAGTAGTAGAAGAAGAAGAGGTCGATGGATTACTTGAGGGTAGGGTCGAGGTAGCGGAGGGTGGAGGTGGAGCCGAACTCGGAGACCCTGGTGTGGACGCCGGGCGCGTTGCGGTAGTCGTCGGCGTCGCGGTCGTAGTAGAGCATCATCCGCTCGGCGAAGCAGCGGGTGAGGGGCGCGACGACGACGGACGGCTCGAACCACATGCGGAACCAGCCGCCGCGGCCGCGCACCAGCGGCCACACCCGGCAGGTCAGGCTGGACGGCCTGTAGTCGTCCGTCAGCCGCGCCTCCAGCTGGTTGCCGCCGGAGCCCGGGATGAGTATCACCGGGTGCAGCAGCTGCCCGCCGCCCCCGCCGGCCGACGAGGCGCAGCACGAGCTCAGCGACAGCATAGCTAACAGCACGACCATACGTAGCGGATATCTCTCCATGATGGGCGTTTGTGTGATGGAATTTTTGGTTTTCTTGCTTGTTTTGGGATTTGGTGTTCGCTGTTTTGTCTCTTGGGATCGGATGGCTTGTAGTAGTGGCTAAAAAGGCAGGGCGCGCGTACGGTGGAAATGGTAGTTACGTCGTCCTTGGAGGGGTCGGTAGTCTCGGGTGCGCTGTGAATCTGCGATCAATTCGCGTCTAACTACTGCTTAATCACGCCACAGTACTGCGTAGCCGCGTAGCGTTCCTTGGTAGCCTACCTGCGATTTAAGTGGGGACAGTGACCAGTCACTCACTGCACACGCTGCATCGTTGCTAGTACTTGTTACTATGCGCCGTGCAATCGATTGCTCTGTTCATACGCACCGAGCTTCGAGCATCTCTACCCCTCGCACTAAAAAACTTCTTCCTTTCTTCAGAGCTTAACCCCTTTCTAAGCTTTTCTGGAAAAAAATAGCGCCCCAAAAATATTCATATTCAATCGTGGCAGTGCAACGGACACCAGAAATAATAAAAATTACATTCAGATTCATAGACCAATTAGCGACAACTACAAGCGTTGAAACGAGCCGAAGACGCGCCGTCGTCATCGCCCCTCCCTCATCGGAGCCAGCAAAACTTGTTGTAATATACAGTCGAAAAGTCGTCTGGCTAAGACCCCCTAAAACTAGCGTACCAGAACAGCACCCGCCGTCTGAAAAGTATCACATATCAAAAGGATCCAACCTGAAGGCTCGCGAACGTAGACAAACGACGATTAGATCTGAGCAAATCCACCAAAGACAAAGACAGATCCACCGGAGACACAACTCCACACGCCCATCGACAATACTAGACGCACCACCGGGATTAGGACTAGAAGGAGAGAATCTTGTGTACACAACTAAGCAGCTTTTCTTGCATCCAACGGGCCTATTTGGGCTAGATGCAGGCAACCAAATGCGCCATACAGACCCAACAAGACTAGCATGAAGTCCCGCCTATTCAACACTTAATATATGTGGCGCGTGAGCAACAAAGCCGTTTATGTATGGACCGTGGGCCTATGTGCTGACACCTGCCCAAAATAGAAACGCGCTCGTTTGTGCAACGCTGCAACCGTTTGCTGCCTAGCAATGTCCTTAAAAAAAAGATCAAATACCAGTGGCGACTAAAAATTGCATGCAGATTCATAGACCACCAAGCGACAACTACAAGCACTGAAACGAGCTTTAGACGCGCCGCCGTCATCGCCCTTCCCTCACCGGAGCCAGCAAAACCTGTTGTAATATACAAGCGAAAAGTCATCTTGTTAAGACCCCATAAGACCAGCGCACGAGAACAACAACCGCCGCCGATGAAGAGTATCGTAAATCAAAAGGATCCAATCTAAAGACTCACGAACGTAGACGAACGACGATCAGATCCGAGCAGGTTCACCAAAGATAAAGATAGATCCACCGGAGACGCATCTTCACACGCCCACTAATGATACTAGACGCACCACCGGGATGAGGACTAGAGGGAGAGAACCTTATGTACAGAACCAAGCAGCTTTCCTTGCATCCAACGGGGTTGTTTGGGCTAGATGCAGGCAACCAAACGTACAGACCCAGCAAGACAAGCATGGATTCCCGCCTCTTCAACACTTAATATATGTGGCGCGTGAGCAGCAAAGCCGTTTATGTATGGACCGTGGGCCTATGCGCTGACACCTGCCCAAAATAGAAACGCGCTCGTTTGTGCAACGCTGCAACCGTTTGCTGCCTAGCAATGTCCTTAAAAAAAGATCAAATACCAGTGGCGACTATCCTAAGACATTTGAGAACATTTGCACATTACTTCATCTCATTCACTTCAGAATTACCAGTGCATCACTACCACATAATGAAAAGTCAGATATTGCATCCACAATTTTCTTTCTTTCAGAAAGAAAGAATTCTTCTACATATTGTTCTTTGCCGCAGGTTCTTCAATCAACAAGCAACTACCTGCTCTGTGGTTTTGCCCTTTTACCTAAGTTGGTATGGATTAATTCATGGTGACATGTTTTTTTTCCTCGATGGTGCATGGTCTGGCACATTCAAAAGCTATTAACATTTCTTTTTCATATGAAATTAACTTGTATTACAAGATTAGTGAAAAATGTGCACTGAAAACCAGCAGATAATCACCTTCGGGTTGCTCTAAATAGTCCTTCGACATTCAGCAGCAAATCCTGGCAATGCCGGTAAACTTTGTTTACTATGCCTCATTGGAATGCAAGTTCTGATCATCTACAGCATTGTTATAGGCTCCCTTCAGCTAATGCATCGATTTCTTTGTTGGATTTCTCATCTTCGACTTTGAATGCTTTGAACCCAAAGCGATATTCTAGCAGTTCCTTCCGATCGGCCGGAGAAACCAAAACATTCATAGTCGCCTTTCCTCTCCAGCAAACAATGGCGATTGGGGAGGGGTCCTTGGCTATGGAATCCGCAACTTGACACCCTGAAATATTAACAAGATTTACATTACCATAAGTGATGGGTTCTTTCAGGTCTACATAGGGCATAATGTTACCTTCACGCAGCACTACAACGCAGCAACCAGGCATCAAAGATGAAGCCTCCTCCCCGAATCTAGCATCGGCAAAACAAGCAAAGTTAATGGTTCGATATTGTAAAAGATGCTGGAAGTCGACTGGAGATGCGTGTAGTATCCGCTTCCTCATGTATGGGAAGAGCAATGACAGCCCCTCATAAGATAGCCTATATGCACATGAACATCCATCCTTTGATCTATGCCTTTCCTGACCGTGAACAAGGAAACAGAGTTAGTTCATTGCTTCGGCTAAAGAAAATATGCACTCTTTCCATGAAAATATATTAAAATCTGCTTGATTGGAGCGCTTACAAACATCTTTACGCCAAGAGAAGCAATTTTAATCTGCTCACCAACTTGTACATTCAGTTCTAAAATGTCTCGTACTGATTTTGATACATAGTACATTCTCCTTGCATTATCAGTACTTCTTGTCACCAGATGACCTTCTAGTGAAAACGATTCCTCGATACCGAAGAAAGATACTATATTTTTTATCACAGCCTCATCTTTGAAAAATAGGACTGGATCAATTCCTTTCCACTTGTGTTGATAATCCAACTTATCCATTCTATGACTTCTATCGCCTGATTCTGTCTGACTATATTCTACATCATCAGATACCACCTTAACTTCAATACGGTTGTCATCCTTTGAAGTTTGGTTGGCCACGCTTAATTTATTCTGTCCATCAAGCAACTTCTTATCATCAAGAGCTTCAGAAACAATTCTATGCTGACATTGCTCCTGAAGTTTCACTGTCCTGTTTGTTGATAGCAGGTTCTCAGTTTTTCTCACCTTGATCACCTGGTTTTCTGAAATAATGTCAACAATACATTTAAGTGCATCATTGATAGTGCATATCAGTAAATCAGAACATAAGGAAATATTTATGAAATGTAAAAGAATATCTTATGCAGAAACAAAAACATGAGGTTACCATTCAACGGGGACAGTTTATGAATAACTGCAATGAAAAATGCCCCACCGTCTTCGTCATGAGGAACAATTCTCATGCAACGATGCAGAGGAAATTTTGAACCCAAGCTTTGAACAGAATTACTATTTGAAATGCCACCTGTATCACAATTAACATTGTTTGTATCTCCAATGTTGAAATTTCTTGAGAACGGCACATTGTACTCTGAATTAACATCAAAGCTGTTATACACTGTATGGCCTTCGTGGATGCTTGTCCTTGAAGGAAACATGCTAGGCAATATTATATTCTTCCTACTGTCAGGAACATCTTCATAAGTCTGAAACCAAGATCCTCTATCATTCACCTGCAAAAGTCACAAGGGGAACCATTGGGGAAAGCAGATTAGAAGAGCAAAGTTTTGGCACCTAATATCTAGTATGCAGTATTGCCCAGTATGGAGCAACTGCTCAACTGAGCACCAAACAGAAAAAGGTTGAATTCGATAATATCATAGTTAGCAGAAACAACAGGCACCTATATTGTGGACTAAACACAAAAGAAAATAGAAAATTATTTTTTTAAAATACTAGAAAACTAATAGTTAGGAAAAAGCACCAATCTGGTGGACAGAGCACAGAGAAAACAGAATAGCAAGAGAATCACGATGTGAGTCAACGAACCTTCCAAGTGCTAAGTCCAGGGCGGCGGACCAATTCTCGTAGCTCATTAGAAACATCAAGTAGTTCAACAGAGCTTCCAGTTCTCCGGAGAAGCTGATTATGTAAAATAATAACAAATACGACGACGAATCATGTTATGCAACATAAATTAAAAAACAAGTACAGAAAAGGATTAATTTAGAAAGGCTCTATACATATCCAGGTTCTGAGATACAGCATAGATGCAATAAATACACAGAAAGAAATGGTAGCTGCTAACCAGCCAACTGCATTAGTTGGTCAGCATGAAAACTGTCATTTGTACTCCACTGGGAATCTTGCTCCCCAGAAAATAACTCTATCAAGAATCTTATGATTAGGCAATTCAGACGGGCTTATGTTTGTCTTAAGCCCCATATCCGGATTAGTGAGCATGTTAAGTAAACATCATTTTAAGCGACGAAAGGAGGTACATTACTAGGCCTACTTCTGCTGTGCTATAAGATAAATAAGGCAACTAGCCAACTAGAAAGACAAACCTAGAGGTACTCCAAAAGGTCCTCAAGTGCACACAGATTTGGCTCAAGTTCAGTCTATATCTATACCTTGTAAAAGATAATACTCTCTACTTGCTCAACAGTAGGTGGAATCTATAATGTATCAATGCTCCTAAAATCAAACAAATACCTCGGCTACAACAACTTCATTTTCGACAGGATTCATTGAGCAAGTTGAGTAAACCATCCTACCACCCACTTTAAGTAAGGCAATACCTGAAAAAACAAAGTTAAACTTTTGATACTACACGCTATAAGGAAACTTCGACTAACGTACATTTTGGCCACAAAATAGATCCAAATTATATTCAGCACCGTTTTCCGTTCTACCATTCCATAAACCTTTAAGATTCAAAACTTCGGTTCTACCATTCCATAAACCTTAAGATTCAAAACTCATGGATACAGGTTTCTGACCATGTTGGGAAAAAAAGGAGGAAAACAAATAGTCAAATGCTTAATTCAAATGTGATTAAGCAGATGCCTCTCTTTTCATAGTGTGGGATCCATCTGAGTGGTCCTGGCGACTGATTTTACTGGTATCTCTTCCTCCACTAGTAGCAGAATTACCACTTATAATCGGATGCCTTTTATAATAACCATTACAGAGAAACCCTTAAACCTCTAAGTACAAAGATCATATGCAGGGTCATGAAATAGTTGATAACATATAGCTAAGTGGTTCATAGCTGATAGCTTGGTTTGCAAAAATATCAGCACCCAGAACCAAGATAACATAATGCTAAGTGGTTACACCCAGAACCAAGGTAATAACATCTTATATTATGGGACGGGGGGAGTAGTTGATAACATGTTGAATTATCTCTATACCCGCCTCCTCTCTCGTTGCATTTTTCTGTATTTTGTGTTTTTCTCCCTGAAACTGTATCATCTACAATTCACATGATAGGAAACCTTACCACGCATAGCAATGTTTACTTGGAGAAGATGAAATTCGTTCCCCATGCTTGAGCTCCTGAACAGTGCACATATTATGACCCTGATTAAAAATTGAATGGAAACATAACAGCAGTGGTAGAATTAAGGTTCAATGCTTAATTGCTTACCACTTTCTCCAAAGGTCATGAGACTTCCGGAGTGTTCCATCACCACTACAGGGGACATCACATAGTACACGGTCGAATTCTAGCCTTTGTGGTTTGCAGTGATCTTTGTAAGCTTCTGAATCATCCTTCGCAAGAGAACAACTGGGAAAGCTTTGTGCTTCATGGTTTGTCACTATCAGGTTGGCAGTGCACATTCTCTTTGTATTATGGATGAGGACGTCGCATCTTTGTACTTTTAAATCATTAGCTATGACCTAACAACAATCTCGCAAAGGAAAGGAACGTGTATAACTACAACTTTCTTTTCTGATTATTTCTTTGTGAACTATAACAAGTGTCGTGCTAGCTACACATAATATATAATGAAACCAAAGTTCTTCTCTGCAAATCAGCAGGAGCTTCTCTGGAAACATAGCTATTAGATTGTGGTGCTATATGTAACAGATGTGACATGTATAACAGTACCAGCGCTGTTGGAGGTAGCCCTGGCTCTTTTGATTGATGAATCATCTCAAGTAGCTGGAACGTTTTAGATCCTGGAGCACCACACACTGCACAAGATAAAAAAAGCCAGATAAGTAGATTGCGAGGATATATTACAGAGTTATTGTGTTTCCCTATCAAATCGAAGAGTCCTAATATACGATAATATCTTGGAAGGCAGTCAACTTGTATGAACACACTGGAGTCCATGATTATGGCCAAGAGTAGTAGGCTAACATACTGTCAAGAATATGGTGGCCAGCTTGTACATTCAGAAATAGTGGTGGCACCTGCAGAAATTATTTCAATTATCAAAACATGGTGTAATGTAATATTGCGAAGAGATACTAAAATACATGATAGCTGAGGTGAAAATAGCCATGAGGTGTTCGGTAAGAGTTGCTCACCATACTAACAGCCTCTTGCCTGGTTATGTTACCAACCTCACTCTCGTGCTTTAGAAACTCATGAAAACTGGGATGTACGAATGGTTAGATTACAAACAGTGGTATAATCAAAGATACAAAAGTACATGAAGTTGCAACAGCAACTCATTTTTAAGTATAACAATGATCTGAATGTGAGAAAATCGTGGATAAATAAGTTGAGATATTACAGTGTGTTAATAATGGCAAGCGATAAAACTAAGCACTCCCCAAATTTCACAGTTCAGTACGCAGTCTTATTTTATACACATAAAGAGTAGCTACTGTGCTGCACAATATAAATATCTGTGCTAATTCTGTGTAATTACTTTCAATTGGCACTCTAAAAAATCTCCAAAAAGATTTCATGAAATGTATAATAAAGGCCCAAATGAAATGTATGACAGGTTTTGCTACCTATGAATGGTATAAGAATTTTAAAGCAAAGCATAAAAGGAGAGCTGGATTTCACATGATCTAGTACATGAGTGTTACAAACCACAAACGCAACAATTTGGATATATGCTGCAAGCAAGCTTTAAAATATCGGATATCAGGTTCGTATCGGTTTGGCTTCGACATATCGGATGTCGGATATCGGGTGATATATCGGACGATATGTAGATATACCGGAGAAAATATGTCTATTTTTTATTATTCTCGTTCAAAACATTTATTTTTAGTAAATGAAAATGTATGATGTCAATGCTTTAACATAACACTTTTAGATTCCTAGTTTAACTTATTGATTAAGAAAATATTAAGGAAAGATTCACAAAATCCTTACTCTATGATTAAAAACAATACGATATATATGCATTTGTATGAAACATTGTGCATGACTTTGATAATATACTCTTATTTCACTGCTTTCTAATAAAGAATTGTTGTCTTCTACGTATCATTCTATATCGGTGGACATATCGAGCTAGATATCGGCCATATCGGTCGATATTTCGGTCCATATCGGATGATATGTTGAAAAATGATATTTACCAAATGATATGTCATGTTCATATCGGTTGGGCCCCAAAAGTGATATATCGGCCTATATATCGGTCGTATCGGCCTAGATTTAAAAGCTTGGCTGCAAGAATTCATTGAGGCAGGAATGTTGCAGAATTTAAAGACACATATTTGGTGCATGGAGGACTTTGATTACAACATGAAGACAGATGGTTACACAATGCCATCAGAAATATTATTTTAAAATAATCATCATGTGATTTTACTACCTCTCAAGTGCAGGATTCTTCCTCAGTTGCTTCCGAGATAAGTTCAAATGCCATGCAAGATTGCCTGGATACCAAGGCAGGGGACTGAGAGCATATTCTCCACATTCATCACTAACCTTTGCAAATAGTTTTTTTGTTAAGAAATGCATCAGAAAATACAAGAACTGGCATCAATTGAAGTGTATAAATCAAGCAAGATGTAACCTCATTTTCCAAAGATCTCCTGAAGTCATTTTCTAATCTGGAGCAAATGTCTTTCAAAAACCGGCAGCTGAAAAGGAAAGGTGACTTCAACTTATTAAGTAAGAATCACCAACATGGCCAGAAGAATGAAGTAATCGTCACTGTATCAAACATACAAAAGATAACAGTCTGGGAAAGGAGCATGGTATTGCCGAGAAAAGGTAACCCTCCAATTCTGTGGTTTGTTTAGTATATATTTTAGAAATACTTCAGCTTGTAGAGGTACCACATGCAATGGCTAGATCGGAATTATTTGCCCAAAAAGTACATGAACTTTCACAGTTAGCATGCCACGTTTGTGTGTATTAGTGATTGCAACGGTTCGCAGTTAGAAATCCCGGATCAGCAATTCTGTAGAGCCCAGCTTGTGAACAAAAATCACACTATACATAATTTGGAAGGGGCTATCAGTTTCTAGGAGTAAGAAAGCAGAGAAATGAACAGAACAGAACAGGGGATCCAGTCCAAATGCACATACAACAAGCAATGTTTGTGCCCAAAAATGTGGAAGTAGTCAAATCAAAGGATGGAAGGAAGGCCAATGTGGTAACTGGTAAGTGCATCACATCATTTCAGAGAAACCAGTATCACCTAGCATTGACCCTAAAAGTGGCTGGCAATGGTCTCCGGAGCACGCTCATGAAGGCGTCCCACTCCTCTTCGCGAACGATTCGCTGCTCCTGCAAGGCGTATACATGTGCACGCAGGCCATAAGGAACGACATTTCAGTAGAATTTATTTACAACGTATGACTGAACGAGCAAGCAGCCGCACCTTGTAGTACTCCTCGAAGGCAGCGTTCTCAAGGGGCGGTGGCTGCGACGAGGTGTTGGACTCGCTGCGGGTGGCGGCGGCGGTTGGCGCGGGAGAACGGGGAGGGCGGGGTCTGCGCCTCCAGAGGCTCTCGGGCGCCCCGCTCAAGTGGCGGCGCTGCGCGTGGCCGCGCCTCCTGTGGCCTCCGGTGCATCGCTTCCTCTGGCCGGCGGCGGCGGCGCCGAGGTGAAGGAGCGAGATGGGTGTCCGTAGGGCTATCATGTTGCTCGCCCTCGTGTCCGCCGGGATTGTGGGTGCTGGAATAGCTGCGTGGGATTTTATTTTTTTAAAGAAGATTAGAGCAACTCCAACGGGCCGACTTCATGTACTTCATTGGAAGGAGGGAGCGGGGGCGCAGTGGCGGACGGTAGCATGCTGCGACACCTGGGTTGTCTAGCTTAGCGGGCAAGGTGGGATCTTAATGGGATAAGTTGACTAGCCCGATTATTGTTTTTTTCCTTTTCAATGGGAGTCCATTAATAAAGTAATTTAAGTGGGATGGATTAGTTAGTCCTACTTAATCCCACCTCCACTTGTAGCCTCAATTGAACATATCGTGATCCCTTAGTGCCAACTTAGGATGCTCTCTACTCGTGTGGACCTTTGTCCATCCTAAGTTTCCAATCTCTTCAATCTCGGACCCGCCTAGTTTCCTACTCGACATCAGTTGCACAAGTTGTTTCATGGATAGCTACATCTGTCTCTCTAGGCTGGGTTGTTTCGAGTCGATCTACTGTTCTTGTGTGGTGTTCTTTCCGTTTGGCATTCATGGTGGTGGAAGGGGATGCTCAATCAAGCTCGTCAAGCAAAATCTCAGGCAGTGTTTGTGAACCGCAAGGATGTGAACATAGATGAGTTGCTCAAGAACTTAGGTTCGTAAGAGGGTGATTTCGATGATTTAATAGGAGAATGAGAAGATGTACCTAAGAATGGGATAAAGTGGATGATCATATCTCATATTCTTACCTTAAACCACTTCACACTCAGTCTCTTTCCACTAATATGTGAATTGCGTGGAGCCCAATACATGATATGAAATTCTGAGTGTCGGAGGACAACTTGTTCAACGTCCAAGCTTTTATGACGGGTGATTGGCAAATGATCACAACATGCAGTCCATGTCTCTTTAAGATGCTGGCCAGCCCGTTTGCTTCGCTTAACTTTTTTTATTACCGATGACGAACCGATAATGTTTTGGCATGTTGGCCTCCGCCGAAACTTTCGGCCTTCTAAGAAAGCGACGATAGCTTATATAGTAACCATGAATTAACATACACTATAGAATAAAAAAAATTACGGCATAGTAATGAAGAATAAACCTAGACTATTCACTGGGCATCAAAATTTGTCACTGATATGCTATCGTCATACACTATATAATAAAGTGCAGCCAGACAACATATTACATACACTAGACATCAAAGTTCGTCACCAGTGCAAATAAACATGCACACAAAAAAGTATACAGAACCGATAGCACTTCAACACAGTTCAAGAAACGTTAGCCCTGCCTAGGAGCTGTCGCGCAAGTAGCTGAGCAAGCTGATAAGCATAGATTAAAAACCGAACCGGTAATTGAACCGGTGAGGCTGCCAGTTCATGTTTTTACGGTCGGACTGCCGGTTCACCGGTTCGATTGTCAGTTTTTTAAGCAATAAAATAATACATATTTTATCAATAAATGCACCAATTCACAGATAAAAAATGTAATTGATTGGGCGTCTTGGTCTTCCTACTCAGCTGCTCCTAGTCTGGACTCTGGAATGGAGGGAGTCAACCGGAGGGAAGCCTGGTCTATTTGACTAGAGCAGAGGGAGATCGAAGTTGTACGGGCCAATCTAACCAGGTGGCGGCAGACCCCTCTCCCCAACTGTCAGTAGAGGTGGTGCAGATGGCGGGACGCGAGGGTGGCGGCGTGGGCTGGAAGCCTGGTGCTGCCGCACGGGGCGATGAGGGAGAAGCGACATCGCCACGCCATGGCACCAGTCAAGGGTTGCGCCGGAGGGGGCACCGATGCCCGGTAGGGTTTGTCCGTGGATAAAATCGAGAGAAATGCTCCTAAAATGGTTGAAGCCCTACTAAAAGAGGGGTTTTCTTCCTTTTTTTGATTCTACCCCAATTTTTTTTGGAAAGCAAAGACTGCTTTATTACTCAAAGACGTGGGCACTATCACCCGATACAATCACAGCAAGTTCAGCTGGTACATCATCATCATACACATCAACACCTCCTAAGTTGGCGTTTAAGCCTAACTTTGCTAAGCAGTGAGTCGCATGATTCACCTCACGTGGAGAATGTGTGATTTCACACAGTGAGAACCACAAGTTCCTCTGGATCCTGATATCTTCAATCAGCTGCACCTCCTTGGAGAAGTATGGCTTTCTCCGGTTCAGCGCCTGCGCTACGAGCAATGCATCTGTCGGCGTTTTGGATATGGGGGTATCCAGACTTGCCTGCCTGCGGCCCACCACATGGCTCCATTGACGGCCTGGTACGGCCCAGCTTCGACATCAACAGCTCAAGACCCTCGCGAGGGGCTGAGCCTCGCAAGACGGACAACGCCAAGACCCCCGAGGGGATCGACCTCTTCAGGCTGGCTCCCGAGGGGCGGAGAGTTCTATGCAAGGTGCACCTCACGAGGCTCAGCTGACGTGAGCCATGACGACCAAGGCCAGGCGGGCGCCAGCGGGCGCAGGCGCCAGTTTCCTCTTTGGTGCAAGGGAGGCAAGCCACAGGCGCGGAGTCACGAGGAATCAGCCAAAGGCTTCCATTCTGGTGAATAAAAATATAGCACCAAGTAAAGTTACCAATGAACGAAGACAAAAGAGGAGATGCCTTCCGGGGGCATCCCCAAGCTTAGGCTTTTGGCTATTCTTGAATATCTTGGGGTGCCTTGGGCATCCCCAAGCTTAGGCTCTTGCCACTCTTTATTCTATAGTCCATAAAAGCTTTACCCAAAACTTGAAAACTTCACAACACAAAACTCAACAGGAAATCTTATAACCTTCGTTAGTGAAAGAAAACAAAACCACCACATAAGGTACTGTAATGAACTCATTATTTATTTATATTGGTGTTAAACCTACTATATTCCAAGTTACCTATGGTTCATAAATTATTTTACTAGCCATAGATGCATCAAAATAAGCAAACAACACACGAAAAACAGAATCTGTCAAAAACAGAACAGTCTGTAGCAATCTGTAACTAAAGCAAACTTCTGGAACCTCAAAATCCCTACCAAAATAGGACGTCCTAAAAAATTTGTTTATTAAACATAATCAAAAAGAATCAATGCAAAATCTCGTTTCTGTGATTTATTCAATTTTTTCTCGTGAGCAAAAAGTTTCTGTTTTTCAACAGAATCAAATCAACTCATATCATAGGTTATCCTATAGGTTCTACTTGGCACAAACACTAATTAAAAGCTAAAAACACATCTAAACAGAAAGTGGAAACAAAATTTAACACTAAACAGGAACAAAAACAAAGAACATAAAGAAAATTGGGTTTCCTCCCAACTAGCGCTATCGTTTAACGCCCCTAGCTAGGCATAAAAGCGAAGATAGATCTAAGTAGTGCCATCTTTGGCACTTGATAAGGAAAAGGAGGATCTCCTTTCTATGGCATTCATCCTTCTATTCAGGGTAAGAACATTGCCATTAATGGATGAAGTAAGATTAAGCACGTTACGGAAATTTGCATCTAAGCTAGACTTCATTTCTTTGATAATTTCATTTTGATAAAAGCACAAGAGAGTAGTTGATTCAACTTTATCATTTAAAGGATGCCCAAATATGATTTTCATTTTTTCATAGGTATCTATAGCGTCCCCTTCAAGAAAACCTTCTTCAAGAATAGAATCAAGAACTTGTTTGAAAGAAGCGGGCAAGCCAACATAGAAACTTTTTAAGTAAACATCAATTTGATATTGTGGCACATAGCTAGCCCGAATCCTTAATAACCTATCCCAAGCATATTTTAAAGATTCATCAAGCAAATAGCGAAAAATTCCGGAGTCATCTTCATCAAAATCATTTAAGCTCTCATTGGTGACCCCGGTGGGTCTTTCCATAGCATCTTTGTTTATGAGCTTAGAGAGGATAGAGGGGTTATCCAAGGCACTAGAACTCGGGAGAAATCCCTTAGTTCTTTTTGATTCGGCCATGGCAATGGGAAGGCAAACAAAAAGAAGAAGAGGAGACTGGGAAAGAGAGGGAGAATAAAACGGCAAGGGTGAAGTGGGGGAGAGGAAAACGAGAGGCAAATGGCAAATAATGTAAATGCGAGGGAGATGAGTTTGTGATGGGTACTTGGTATGTCTTGACTTGAGCGAAGACCTCCCCGGCAACGGCGCTAGAAATCCTTCTTGCTACGTCTTGAGCTTGCGTTGATTTTCCTCGAAGAGGAGAGGGTGATGCAGCACAGTAGCGTAACTATTTCCCTTAGTTTTTGAGAACCAAGGTATCAATCCAGTAGGAGGCTCCTCAACAAGTCCCACGAACCTACACAAACAAACAAAGAACTCGCAACCAACGTGATAAAGGGGTTGTCAATCCCTTCAGGACCACTTGCGAAAGTGAGATCTGATAGAGAAAGTATGATAAGATAAATATATTTTGGGTATTTTGTAATATAGATGCAGAAAATAAAGATGCAAATAAAAGTAAATCGAAAGCAAATATGATAAGAGATAGACCCGGGGGCCATAGGTTTCACTAGTGGCTTCTCTCGAGAGCATAAGTTTTACGGTGGGTGAACAAATTACTGTCAAGCAATTGATAGAAAAGCGAATAATTATGACGTTATCTAGGCATGATCATGTATATAGGCATCACATCCATAACAAGTAGACCGACTCCTTCCTGCATCTACTACTATTACTCCACACGTCGACCGCTATCCAACATGCATCTAGAGTATTACGTTCATAAGAACAGAGTAACGCATTAAGCAAGATGACATGATGTAGAGGGATAAACTCAAGCAATATGATATAAATCCCATCTTGTTATCGTCGATGGCAACAATACAATACGTGTCTTGCAACCCTTTCTGTCACTGGGTAAGAACACCGCAAGATTGAACCCAAAGCTAAGCACTTCTCCCATGGCAAGAAAGATCAATCTAGTAGGCCAAACCAAACCGATAATTCAAAGAGACTTGCAAAGATAACTCAATCACATAAAAGAATTCAGAGAAGATTCAATTATTATCCATAG